AATGATGCACACCAGTGTCAGGCTAGGGGTTAGCTCTGGGGGAATGAGGAAGGGCGGGGAAAGGAATTGGGAGGTGAGGACTTTATCTGTGTCGGAAATATTTTATTCTCCAAAAATAGCAACAAAAAGGTTTTAATCAGCTGCAGCAAAATGGTAACATCTGTTTAAGATGCCGAGTACTTGAATATGCCACATTATCTTCTATGCTTCATAATTTAAACAGTTACAGGAATATTTATTCCTCATAGAAACTTAGAATGAAATAAAACTCACACACAGTCTCACCATAGTGAGGCCTAAATCTAACTGACGGAAACAGATTGCAAGCCCTTCATCTGGGCCGTTCCCCGCTAAGCGCCCGTGTCTAAGGCTGTCCCGTTGAGCTAGTTTTTAGAGCCCTACCCATCCAGCTCCGTGGCTGCCGGGCTGGGTGGCAGGACAGGAAGACTTCGGCACAATCTTCTAAGTACAACATAAAAGTCTGAGCACGCGTCTAAACGCCCAAGTGAGCCCTACGGAAAAACACGCCTACGATGTGCACTCGCATCCGGCAGGAAGCAGAGGGCCCTGAGCCAGAATGCTGAAAACCATAGCTCTCTTCCCTGCGAGGAATACCAGCTGTCATCACATTCTCCATCGTCCAGTCACGTGACGTGGAGTCCACCTACACCGACAACTCCGAGCACCTCGCATGCAGTTCTTATTTGAGCGACTTCGGTGACTGCCGTTCATCGCGCCCAGAATTCTGAAACGCTGTTCGCACGTGCCGATGCTGACATCCTGCTAACCAGGGGGCTAACGGGGCGGCGGTGAGCAACACAGACCCCCCGAGTGGCCTCATTACCTGGTCGCAGGCCTTCGCACACACAGGAACGAAACACAACGGGAAACGCCTGGAGCCCGCACCCTGTGTCTGAGATTCGAGCCCCGTGGAGCTCTGACCCGTCGTGGGGCCCTCGTAGCTGAGCCCGTGTTACTGCGCGTCTGTCTGAGAAGGCTTAGCTTCCGTCACTGTCATTCGAGTCGGTGTATTGTTCCCCCTCCCAATTCTGCTGCTTGAATGTTGTGTTTTCATTTTTTTGTTATGAAAAAATTCAAACATACAGAAAAGTTGAAATAATAGTACCCTACCACCTAGATTTTACCGTGTGGACCTGCCTTTGAGATACTTTTATTCGGTTAGGATCTAGAAATGCAGACAACTGCTTATTTTGCAGCACTTAATACTCACTAATAGCCGCAGCTTCACGAATTTCTGGCACTATATGAAAGACACTTTGAATAGGAGAAGATACCCAGCCTTTCACGACTCTATTCCTTTAAGTCTTTATTGAGAGCCTACTATGTGCCAGATCCCGGGGAGGATGTTGAACAGCAGACGAATAAGATGGTCCCGGCCTCCGAGAGCTCACAGTATAGAGAGAGGCCGGTGTGTAAACGATTCCGTGCAGGACATGGGGACCGAAAGTGCAGTGAGGGCCCCGCAGGAGCAGCCGGCCCTCGGAGGTCAGCAGTGTCTCTCAGAGGAGAGCCTGCGGTCCAGGCCTCGGGTGAGTGGAATTTCGTCCGATGGAGAAGATTCCAGGTGCAAGAGCTGAGCACTGTAAACAGCACACAGGCTGGGGGAAGGGCTAGAGCAGTGGTTCTCAACCTGTGGGTCGCGACCCCTTTGGGGGTCGAACGACCCTTTCACAGGGGTCGCCTAAGACCATCGGAAAACACATATATAATTACATATTGTTTTTGTGATTAATCACTATGCTTTCATTATGTTCAATTTGTAACAAGGAAATTGGGGGTCACCACAACATGAGGAACCGTATTAAAGGGTCGCGGCATTAGGAAGGTTGAGAACCACTGGGCTAGAGTGTAGGGTAGTAGAAAGGTTTGCAAGCAGAGGGCGATGTCTGGTTTGTTTTGAGAGAGAGAAGATTTGAGGCTGTGGGCAGGGGATTAGGAGCAGGAGTGCCCCGCGTTGCTCGCAGCCTGCGCGGATCCGCTCATTCACTGAGTGTGCACTGCAGGCCACACCAGTGACACAGTGTAGAGCAGGTTCACCGTGTCACTGAGCTCCCCGTCTCGCACTGCCCGCCTGTCTGCTTATAGTGCTCAACTGCTCCTCTTGTCTGACACCGTCTGTCTCCCCTCCTTGTTCTATGGGATTTCAGCTTTAGCGCCTCCCTCAGATCAGATGAGAACCTAAAGAAGTTTATCTAGAGAGAAAACTGAGAGAAGAAATTGCACCTTTTATCTTTATATCCCCAGTAGCTGACACAATGTTTCCAATATCTTAAGCTTTTGATAATTCAATGGATAGATCACTGAGATACTTGGGAAGTGAAACGGACGGGAGTGGGTGAGCTAGAGGATGTGGTGGGTGTGGGAAACGGAGGGGGCAGGAATGGCTCCAGGACCTTCTGGCTGCCGTGACCAGGTGGATGGTCACCTGAGACAGGAATAGAGGGTGAATGAGACGGAGAGGAGAGGTGAGGAGAGAGCTCATTTCTGACTCTTAGTTGGAGTTGTCTGTTACGCTGCTGGGCGTGCTGCTTGCTCTTCAAAACCTTCATCTATAATCCACTTGCACGTTTGGTTCACAGCGGCAGGATGTGACCAGAATTGTCCCAATGTTGAAAAGTAAGCTGGCTCGCCCCGTTGGCCAAAACTTCTAATATTTGGAAAATTCTTTGCTCAGAGCATGCTTCCCTAGATATATACTGTTTGGAACTTATCCGTTTTGGATTTAAGTTGATTCATGTAGCGTCAAAGGAACAAAGAAATGGTAACTAATAACTCCTGTCAGTAACATTAGAGAATTAAAAAGGACATATGATCGAAGTAATCAGGCTGGCGAGGGGAGGGGGTAAAAAAAAAACAAAACAAAAAAAAACCAGAACCAGAAAGAAGATTGGCATCATATAAAGAACTTGTAAGCTCTTTTATCCCTTTGGATAATATGGGGGGAGGGAGGGTTCTTGCTTTGTTGTTTGTGTGTTTGACTGTGATCCAAGTATCACCTCTCACTTGGAATTATTTTTGTGTTTCGCCTTAACTCATTCTTATAATACTGCAGGTTTTCATATGGAGATTGCACAGTTGATATGTTATTAACAAAATAAGCACTTACGTAAATTTGAGTCCTCTGCTACTTAAAGTTCATTTGTCTCTTCATTGGGTTCTGTGATGAACAGTTTTAAATTCCTATCTTCACAGTGTGTGGAAATAACCACGTGTACCTCTTTTGCTTTTGTTATGGCTGGGTTTTGTTTTTAATTCTTTTGTGCAGAGGCAGGAAGGTTTTATAAGACATGTTATTATAACAATTCTAAGTTGGTCCCGTTGCAAGTTATGTAAAAGGCTTAACCAGAATTGTAGAATGTGTTCATGTGCGGTATGTTGACCGCCCGATACATTTTAAGGAGAAAATAACATCATTTAAAATAGGTTCTTTACCATGTTCGTCTCCAGCAAGCAGAGAAGGCTGTCCTCGAGTGAGATGAGACAATAGAGCCACCTTCATTTCTCATGCCCGTGAATGGAGCGGCTCAGTGATTAGTGGAAACCGAGTAGCCTTCCCGGGCATTCATCTCCCTGTCCCCAGATTTGAATATGAAAAGCATATTCAAGTCAAAGACCATCACTCTAATGACACTGGGCAGTCATTTGATTTATTAGGTTTTAGAAGAAATTTCCCTTTAAATATTTCATCACCCTCTGCTAATCCTGGCGATATTGCCAGCTGCAGCCTGTCCCTGCATTAGCGGGCACAGAACGGGCGGAGCGCTCCCTGTCATCCGGGTACAATTGCCGTGAATCTACTGAATAATGAAATAACCTCAGTGAAATATTCAGATTTGGGTTTTTAGTTAAAGTGCCTTAGAATACATAATAAAAGAAAATGTCCTTTGGAAGGAGGGGGTAAAATTACTTCATCAAATATCGAGGGGGTTGCACAGCAATGGGAATTGTTCTTTATGAGGATATTTTTACAGTAGCGTTTCAGTTTGGTTAATTATATTGTATGCTTTGCAATATCTCAGTCATCACGGTGGTAAATTTACCCACTGACATATTTAACCATAAATTTCTAAACGTTGGTCCCATAAACAGGGCTTATCTTTGGGAGTTTCTAATTACAACCCGAAGTTCTATCATTTTCGGGAGCATGTCTTCGGGTTTAGTGAAGGGGAATCGGGAGCAAATGTAAAGCTACAACAACAAACATTTGACTGAGGCATGATCTTGGCGTGATCTCATTTTTAAGTCCTCGTCTATTATTTGTTCTAAGTCATTACTCCGGGGAACTCGTGTGCCTGGCACCAGAATCTATTCAATAAGAATTGATGTGCGAATTACACTATCAAACAAATACCTATTTTACTTGTTAATTCTGTAAAAATGGCATACAATAAATTGTGAGAAAATGTGTTAAACTGGGGGAAAATGTTCCTTTGTTTGAAAACTACTTATTGAGTGAAATATGTTACGGCGGAGTCTATGAGAGAGTGAGCGGTAGGCTCCGCTCTAGTTAATATGGACTCATAGAGCTGCACGCATTAGCATAAGAGCTATAAAGTATTGAACAGGCTTTGATCTCTGAGCAGCCGGAACTTCCCCGGGTCCTGAGGTGAGCTGAGCAGTGATAAGCATGCGCTTCATGCAGGTTTGAATCCAGGCCAGCAATGCTTGTCATCGGAAAGCAGTCAGAGATGAAGACCTCACCGCGCCCCTCCGAGAGGCGCCTGGCGGGTGCTTACAGCCGCACGTGGGAACCGGGGCTGGGGGACACTGTTCACGTCCAACCCCGGGCAGGGTCTCTCCCCGTCTCTCTGTCGGGAAGAATCTACCACGTGTGACTAAATACTAGTGCGCAGTGCCTCCCAAAAGGCAGCCCGTCGGCCTTCGTGTTTGATTTCAAATGGATAGCAAAAGGGAGGACAGGGTTTTTGACTCGTCTGCTTTATTTGCTTCTTTGTTTCTCTCTCTCCCTCTTTAAACAGACATCAGAGAAGATCCGGATCGAGATCATCGCTCTGAGCCTCAGTGACGCTCGAGTGGCCGCGGATGACACGGTCCAGCGGCTCTTCGTGGAGTTCCGGCTCTGCGGCCTCCCTGCTGAGGAGACGCCCGTGTCGCTGCCCAAGCCCCGGAGGGGGCACTGGGTCCACTACAACTACAGCCACGGTGGGTGCGGCTCGAGGGCCACGGAGCGGGAGCCAGGAGGACCCCCGTTCTCACTCCTCATACAAATCCCAGCCGTCTTGGCAGAGTGAATTCATGAAAGCCCCGTCTGTTGCCCTGGCCGGGCGGCTCAGTTGGTTGGTGCATCGTCCCCTCCACCAAAAGGTTGCGGGTTAAAAAAAAAAAAAAAAAAAGGTTGCGGGTTAGATTGGAGGTCAGGGCACTGACCCAGATTGCGGATTCGATCCCCAGTCAGGGCATGTACGGGAGGCAACCAATTGATGTTTCTCTCTTCCCGTCTGTTGCCCTGGCCGGGCGGCTCGGTTGGTTGGAGCATCGTCCCCTCCACCAAAAGGTTGCGGGTTTGATTGGAGGTCAGGGCACTGACCCAGGTTGCGGATTCGATCCCCAGTCAGGGCGTGTACGGGAGGCAACCGATTGACATTTCTCTCTCCCTCTCGCCCTTCCTTTCTCAAACGTATCCTCGGGTGAGGATTAAAAGAAATTTTTTTAAGACAGATCTGTAGGATAAGGATAAAAAAGTTGCAGTAGAATTGACAAAAATGTTGAATTAATACTAAAGTTAAAATGAAAGCAGTGGGAAAACAATGTTGCTAGATGTTCCTGCTATCTCATAGTATCATTTAAAAAATGCCACCTAGGTCTAAAATTGAATTTCATAGAAAAATACTGTATTTCAATGTAGACGTTTTTTAATCATATGGATTTGAGTGGTTCAGTGGCCTCATTTCTTCAACCTTCCTGATGAATGTGACCACGTAGATGTTGTTACAATATCTGTGTATGTCTCTCCCGTGCATGTCTCTCCCAGTGTCTAGGTGTTCGGGATTTTAATCGAGTGGCATAAGTGCCTACATGACCTTTCCTCATTTAGCCCACCCATCCATGTTTAGAAGCAGGAGGGTTTTCTCTTAATTCAGGGCTTTATCTATCTGCTAGTTGACATGTAAGTCTACTGAACCAGTGCAGACCCAGTAGGCAACTTGTAAATTCTTCTGTCAGCCAACTTGAAGATGTTTTTTAAATGGTTTGGCGGCGTGCAAGTGGAGAAGTGTGAGAAACGTCAGGCCAGGCTGCCACGAGCCGGAAGTGGAACTGCTGTCCCCTGTGGGAACACACACAGTGCAGCAGCGGACGGAACCTCGCAGCGATGTTGCCTGCGCTGTGGCCTGAGCGCACTCCAGAGGGAGCTGTGCGTGAGGCCTTCGTCGGCACACAAAGTGAGAAGGTGGGACTGGTGGTCCCCAGGACGATCCGGAGCCCAATTCCGTCTTTTTTGAGAGGGGTTAGTAGCCGTTTCCCCTACACACACAAATCTGTCTTCTTTGGGCTACTGACACTGAGAAAATGTTGCTAGACCAAGGGAGCAAGAACAAAGCAATCGGATGGCGTTGCCCTTGGAAACGTTGCTGAGAAAGCAAGAAAATCGTTTGGAAGAAGGTGAGAGTAATGTAGGTCGGAAGAATGTTGTCTGGGCCGGATAAAGCCTTCCAGGGACTTGACAGTGGGGGAGAAGAGAATGAAGGTGCCCCCCGTTTTTCTGAGACGTGTACAGATCATCGAGGTCCCAGGGCTCTGAGCATTGAACAGTCTACCTGGTGGGACTTGAAGGTTAATTCAGAACATGAAGAGGACGCAGAGCTTCAGACTGTGTTGCTGACGGGAGGAGAGACTTGGCAAAGCAAGGATTGGGGGTGATGACTCTCTCACACAGTGACTGTTGAGATTCAAGGTCGTTAAGCCATCTGCATCTCTTACTGCTGCCACGTGACACGAGGGAGGATGCAAGGACCTCTCCTGCCCGCAGAAGGAGGGTTGCTTTTGATGGTGGAGCGTTCAGAACCCACCCAAGTGTTTGGACTGCTGGGTTGTATCTTTCTGAGGCATATGCTTTCGGTATGCGTTGTCCAAATCTAGCCAGTCCTAAACAAAGGTGATTTCCGGTGGAAATGAAAGGTAAATAGCTTAACTTGTAGGAGTTCTGACATTTTTCATAAGTGCCAGCATTTCCTTTTATAGGATGCATTTGAATTTTGGAAATTTTAGACCTTTTAAAAATATATTTTTCCATTGATTTCAGAGAGGAAGGGCAAGGGAGAGAGAGAGCGATGGAAACATCAATGATGAGAGAGAATCATTGGCTGCCTCCTGCACACCCCCCACTGGGCATCGAGCCCACAGCCGGCCCCGGGCCCTGACCGGGAACTGACAGGGCGCACACGGACCTGCCGACCTGGGCCCTGACCGGGAACTGACAGGGCGCACACGGACCTGCGGGCCTGCCATCGCCGCACCTGGCTGTTCAGGGTTGACTCCGGCTTCCAGAGCTGCTGGCGCTTCCCAGGCGCACCGGGAGGCGCCGTGGCTCGTCTCGGGAAACGGGCGCTTACACAGCACAGGGTGGGCCTGGTGTGGCGAGATTCCGAGTGACTTCCTGTGTGGACGGTTTGTTTTTTGTTGGGTTTTTTATTTATTTTTATTTTTTTTGTACAGTGATCTACGTGGATAAAGAAAACAACCAAGCGAAGAGAGACGTCTTAAAAGCCATCCTGCGCCAACAAGAGACGCCTAACAGGAGGTACAGGACGCGTTCTGAGGGGCTGGTGGTTTGCACAGAGGGACTCCCGGGAGCTCCGTGGGGTGCGGAAGGCACGGGGGGAGGACAGAGAGCACGTGGGTCTCTCTGGGTCTCTCACCCTGGAAAGCGCCCTGCCTGTGGCGCTGTGAAGACCAAGCCTGCACCGTGCGTGTGAGGCATCCATTGCCGCTGCGGTGACTGTCAGGAGCCAGCGGTGCTGGCAAGGACGGGCCCTCTGCCGCCACTGGCTTCAGTATAACTTCGCTTACCAGCTGTGTGACCGCGGACAGGTGACCTAACCGCCCTGTGCCTCGTTCCTTCAGCTGTGAAATGGAGATAATGTACGTTCAATGGAGAGACCAGCGCCTGGCAGGCAGTTAAGCAATAAGTGTGGGTTGCTATCAGCAGTGATATCAACATTACTATTTTAACAGTTCATCAGCCTTTCTGACTAATTCTTATCTTGCTATCACGGGTAATAATTCACTGTTTCATGGTTTTTCATGCATGGGGGCAAATTTGAACAGGACATTTTCCAGTTCTGGTTCAGTAGAGAAATGATACACTTGTCCAAGGTCACACCGCTGATAAGCAGGAAGGCAGAAATTTGGACTCAGAAAGGGTGCCCTTAACCAGGCCATCGCAATCCCGGTATTTTATGTGTCGTTCAAAATGCTCATCTTCTCCACCTGCCACACACCAGGCTCTTCCCTCACAGCTACCGTGTGAGCGTGAGGGTTTCTGTCTTCCAGCCAAAGCCCAATGCTAGCAGGCATGGGCTCAGTGACGGAGTGCAATGTTGGAGACGTATTTCCAGCAAGTTCGTTTGAACTCTTGTCATGTTTACCTGATTTTGGAAAGGATTGGATTATTTTTCAAGACCCCGTTTTTCAGAGGCTTAGATGTTTATCTGAGAATGTTAACTAAGACACAAGTTTCTTGTTTCACTTGAGATTTGGGCTGGATACGTTTTGAAAATGGTTAAAGTGGTCGTTTACAAGCAGCGTGGTTTCGGCTGTGGTGCCAAGACATATCAAAGGAGTCCTCAGCTGCAAATTCCTGTCCTTTGGTTCGTCCAAGTGTGTTTGGCCTCAACACATGTCACTAATTCAAATCAGTCCCTTCAGAACCCCACAATTATGTGTCTAAAGTGAAACAAAACTTGGTGCTCTGATCATAAGTTAAGAGCCTGCTGAAGTAACACAAACATTCCATCTGACATGATTCAGGGAGCAGATCCCTACGTTTTATAGGACACACATGGGGTTCAAGGGCTAGAGCATCTCCAAAAGCGTGCATTTCCATAGGGAATACTGCATTCCTGCTGGCAGTGCTGCCCTAGCTCCCTGTCTGTGTTCGCTTGATCCTATTAGCCTTAGAAGTAGATGTGCCAGGCCTCATGCGAGGTGACGGGAGAAGGCTTGACTCGGGTGGTGGGCACACGGTGCAATAGACAGATCTTGTAACCTAGAACCCGCACCTGAAGCCTGCGTGTCCGTGTTGACCAATGTCACCCCAACAATTCAATAAATAAGTATTTTTTAAAAACTAGATGTATCAAAATAGGACCAGATACATAGAGGGGATATAGTGTGATAGGAAAAATAAAATTTAAAAATAAAAGATCAGATTGTGTGTCACAGTGAGCATCTGGCTCTTCAGATTCTAGAACGAATGTCTGTCCCTCGGAGCTTGAGAAGGTGGATTGCTGTCCATCTGCAGGCTGGTGTGCTGTGATAGTGCTAGGAGTTCTCATACGAGCTTGTCTGACTTCATATAATACTCTTTTTTATTTGCAAATTCCGAGATGTCATCTGTGGTGATCAGCCCTCTCGGGAGTTCTGTTTCTGGTGGTTTTCTCACGGGGCGGTGACTGTCTGCTTCTCCCTCCCAGCGTCCGCTTCACTGTGGTCAGCGACCCCCCAGAGGAGGAGCAGGACCTGGAGTGTGAGGACATCGGCCTCGCCCACGTCGACCTCGCCGACCTGCTTCGGGAAGGGAGGGACCTCGTCGAGCAGAATATCGACGGTACGGGCGGGGTGCTGCTCAGCCGCAGGGTCTGGACTAAAGCCTCCCTTCTGCTGGCTGCGAGGACAGCGAGTCGCAGGCCAGCCGAATCCTGTGCAGCTCAGGCAGCTGCGTGTCCTGGAGGCGTGTCAGGTGCTCCCAGGGGGAATTATTCAGTTTGTTCCTATTGGATGTGTGTGAGACAGATATGGCCACTGGCTACTCTTCACGGTGTTTATGGAGGCCTCGTGCTGTCAGGCTTGTTTCCGCTGTGGCCTGTTCTTCTGAGTGATCGTTTTAGTCTTTTGTTTTTTTGTTTTTATATTTTTTTATTGATTTCAGAAAGGAAGGGAGAGGGAGAGAGAAATAGAAACATCAATGATGAGAGAGACTCATGGATCGGCTGCTTCCTGAACGCCCCCACTGGGGATTGAGCCTGCAACCCGGGCATGTGTCCTGACCTAGAATCGAACCATGACCTCTGGGCTCATAGGTCGACACTCAACCACTGAGCCACACCGGCCGGGCCGTTTCAGTCTTTCGCAAGCCTTCTTTCTCATTCGGGGTCACAGTCCAGTGATGGTCAGCACACAGGACTCGTTCCCTGCAGGACTCGGGGGGACAGAGGGTCTGAGCAGATGTGACCTGTGGGCATCACCTCTGCAGGTGTGCGTCCCAGCCGGGCTTCCTGTCCACCTGTCCTTGCAGGGCGTCTGGACCCGCCGGAGGAATGTGGCCGGGGCCGTCCACAGTGTGTGGAGAAATGAGCCGAGTCCTAGTCTCACGCGTTACGTGAGCAGAGCCTTCTCCGGGGGATGCATGTGGTCTGCTTAGTCTTTCACTCGTGCACTAAGCCAGCACGTCACTGACACCGAAGGGCCGGGCGCTGCTGGCACCACCGTCCACCCGGTCACGTGGCAGCTGCGTGTCCTGGAGGCGTGTCAGGTGCTCCCAGGGCAGGGTCACGCCACGCAATGAGCAGATTAGACCAAATAACCACATAGCAGCCTGCTCTGGGAATTCTGATAAACCAGACACATCTAACTACAAGGCAGAGGGTCACAGGAGAGAGAGAGGAGAGAATTAAAATATTAACCCAAGCCACCCGGTAAGACACCCAGCGGCAAGAGAGCCTGACAGAATAACCAAATTACATACGCTTCCTGTTCTGGATCTTTCTTCCAGTCGGTTCTGCTTAGCAGCCGTGTCCTCATCCTGCAAGGCCACGTGTGACCACACTGGCCTGGCGCAGACAGCGACTGCGGCCGTGCTCGGGGGAGTCATTTTAGGATTCTAAACTGTGTTCTGTGCCAGCCCAGCGGCAAGAAGGCCCAAAGAGAGAACCCTCAGGGGCACGAGCGGCCCCCTGTGCCCGGCTTCCCCTGCCTGCCCCTTCCCCACCGAGTGCCTGTCAGCCCCCTGCCTGCCCCTTGTCCACCGAGTGCCCGTCAGCCCCCTGCCTGCCCCTTGTCCACCGAGTGCCCGTCAGCCCCCGGCCTGCCCCTTCTCCACCCGAGTCTCTGCACCCAGTTCTGTGTGAAGGTTTCCTCGCCGGTTTCCTTGGAATGAAACACACACACACCATAAAGCTCAAGTAAACCACACGGAACAGAAACAGGAACCTACATGGACTCCAGTGCTGTCGAGCTTGCAAAGTTCAGGGTTCCGGCCTGGAGTCCCTACAGGCGTCAGTGTGCACAGAGGGCGGCGCCCAGGTGCCCGCTCAGCATCCCGCCTGCCCCGCCCGAGCTCCGAGGAGGCCGGTGCTTTGCCCAGTGGCTGCCTGTGGTACAACCCTGAGGGCCACGGCATCAGCTCCTGGCCCCTCAGTCCACAGACCTGAATATTCCTGATCTGCCATTTCCACTTTTCTAATTCCACCTCCACTCCATTATCACGGAATGTTATAACCAGCCAACCCAAATCACGATCGTGTAACTTCTGCACAGTGGTTAGAACAGGGCCTTCGTTGTCGCCTGACCCCTTTTACACTTTGGTTTCACCGGCTTGGAAATCCTGACTCTCTTGGAGTCATTATCCCGCAGCCTGTCCGCTAGGTACACGTGACGGGTCGTTCCTTTCAGTGCATCCAGAACAGGGGTGGGCAAACTTTTTGACTCGAGGGCCACAATGGGTTCTTAAACTGGACCGGAGGGCCGGAACAAAAGCATGGATGGAGTGTTTGTGTGAACTAATATAAATTCAAAGTAAACATCATTACATAAAAGGGTACGGTCTTTTTTTTTTTAGTTTTATTCATTTCAAACGGGCCGGATCCGGCCCGCGGGCCGTAGTTTGCCCACGGCTGATCTAGAATGTGTCAGACGTGTATCTCCCTGCACGAGTGGCAGCTCTGAGTGTTAGCTTTCTGAGATGCCAGTGAACTTTGGACTTTCATAGCGGCATCTCCAGCCTTACAACCAGGGTTCCAGCCGCCCCACCTGAAGGACATCTGTGGGGTGATCCTAACGTCTGTCCGCTCTTCTCTCCCTAGTGTGGGACGCCCGAGCCGGTGGCGGAAGAATCGGCCAGCTCAGGGTGACGGTGGAAGCGCTCCAGGCCCTGCGGTCGGTCCGCGAGCAGGACGGCGCGGGCTGGGAGGCCTGAGAGAAACTGCCCCGGAGACGCCGCCTCGTCCAGAGCGGATGCGCACGCTCAGAGCTCGGAGCTGGGCTGTCTGCAATGCTCTCTGCCTGTCATCTCTCATTCACGGGAGGCTGGGGTGAAGGGTTCAAGTTTTGTATACTCTTTCATTTGGTTCTTTTTCAAATATAGTTATTTATTTCAGAGAGGAAGGGAGAGGGAGAGAGGGAGAGAGAGAAACATCAATGTTGAGAGAGAATCATGGATCGGCTGCCTCCTGCACGCCCCACACTGGGGATTGAGCTAGCAACCCGGGCCTGTGCCCCGACCGGGAATCGACCGGGAATCGAACCGTGACCTCCTGGTTCATAGGTCTGTGCCCCGACCGGGAATTAAACCGTGACCTCCTGGTTCATAGGTCAATGCTCAACCACTGAGCCATGCGGGCTGGGCCATTTGTTTATGTTTCTTTCCCCCCTTCCCATGGCTGCCATCTCTCCGGACTTCAGATCTCCCTAAGGGGCAGCACCTCAATCCATACCCACAGGATAGTATAAGAAAGACTATTTGCATTTTCAACATTTCCTTATGAAGAACTGAAATGCAAGTCCCATTTTCATTTTTAATAAGCAAAAAGCATAAATCTTAGAAAAACCTATGAAAAAGGAGTACTTTCATGTTATCCCTAATCGTCCCACTAAGTGGAATGCCCATGATTGGCCTCATTAAGAGTTTTACACTGTGAAGATTTTATTAGAAGCAATATATGAAAATTACTCGGATTAATGTGTTAATCCTCCTCTTTAAAATGCTAATACCCATTTTACGCACATTAAAGCTCAGTGTGCACTTCCTTTGATGCCTGCAGTTCCTATCAATTAAATATGAAGAACAAGGCTTGGCACCCACTTACTAAGTTCCTGCAAGTTGTTTGTTTTTCTCGCTTAAAAATGACAGTCCTTCCTATTGGTCCTGTTTTCGTGGATTTTGCGATGGCGACTTTGGTGATGGGATCCAGGAACATGTGTGTAGAGAGGAGGTAGAGACAGATGTATATGCAATTTACACTTTGAAAACTTAGCTCGTGACAGAGAGAAATGATGAGAAAGCACGGCCCCGGTGATACGCTCAGCAGCCCTGAGAGGATATCCCGCGGGCACGTCTTGGCCGTACATCGGGCGGTACAATGCGGGGAGGTGGGGCAGCGGCGTCCGGAAGCGGCTCCGCAAGGTGATTTTCTCGCTTTTACCCGGTCTCACTGAAGGATTTAATTGATATTTTAATGGTGCTGTGAATCAGCGCTGCAAAGGAATTGTCTCTAGAGGTCCAGGCTATAATGCAGTTCATTTTTTAATTTCTCTTTTATTTGTCATTTTCTTCAAAGGATTTTTATAGGCTGCGGCTTTCCACTGTTTGCAAACAGGCTAGGTTCCTTCCTAAGCATATGTAACGTATTCAGGGAGATAAGCAATTTATTAAAATCTACCTAATTTGCCGTGCTATATTAAATCTCTGCTCCAGTGCTCACAGGCCATTTCATTTAGAGAATTAGGCATTCCCTCTTTGTGTGATTAAAGCTCTGGAAAATGAGTTCTTTGCTCCTATTTGTGAACATTCAAAGCCCGCTAATGGCAAGAAGATGGAATAGATTATGAGACAATTCATTACAGTTCAACAGAGGAAAAAAGCAGCTATAATGCAAAAATGCAAGTCTGAGTATCTGCATATAGTTTGAACCATCTGTGCTCTAATGGCCTCAATCATGACTCTCGTCTTCAGGAGGCTTTGAAATGACATCCGTACAATATTAACTTGTCGATGTGCGCAGTGGGACCAGGAGCGTGCGCCTGGCCACGCCGGCCGTGGGTTCTCTCTCTGCCCCGGGGCCTCCTGCCTGGGGCCTGCCACCTCCAGGGAGACTCGCTCTCATCAAACTCTGGATCTCCGAGGTCACTCATTCCTCTGGAACCTTCTGGAGACCGCAGCCTCTGCAGCTGAGCCTCTCCAGCCCTCATAAACGGCCACAGGTCTGTTGTCACTTCAGCTGGCCGATCCTCCTCCCGCCTCTCAGAGCGCTGTGGCTCTCGCAGCCGGGGTCATGAGGCCCGGCGCCCCGCCTCACCCTCTCGCCCCGCCCCCCGCGGTAATCCCAAACAGCGGGGCCTGGGATTAGCCGCCTGGCTTTGGAGACATTTATTGTGTGTTATTGTTTATACATGACATCCCACACGAAACGCCCTTTCTGTGGGGGAAGGAGCGGATGGCGCTGACTTATCTGTGAGAGGAGAGGGGGGCGTTTATCCGAAACCCTCTGCGACCTGGTCAGCTGTGTGGACTGTGTGCGCAGATGAGACGAGAGATTCAGCCATGGTCCTGTTCACTTTTACCATATGGATTATTAAAGGTCACTTCCTAGTGTTAAAATGCTCACCTCGATACGTCAGCGCTCACAGAGCTCCTGTTCACACCTGGCTGGTGGGTGCTGACAGCTGAGTGGGCGAGAGGCCTCGCTGCTCCCCTGTGGACGCGGCACTCGGTCTCATCTGCCTGAGATTGGTGTCTCGTCTCGTGTCGACCAGAGTTCATTGAAAAGCTCACCTTTTGGATCACAGAGCAGTGGTCTTCCATGGGGAGCCAAGCCTCATCCACTCCGGTGGCTCGGGGGCAGGGGGTCGGCAGTGGCCTCGCCACGCACACTCGCCCAGTCAGGGTAATGCTGAGTGGACCCACAAGTCCCAGTGTGAACGTGCAGGTCCCAGTGTCTACTCACAGGTCCTGGTGTGAATGCGCAGGTTCTGGTGTGAACACACAGCTCTCGGTGTGAACACACGGGTCCCTGTGTGAACGCACAGCTCTCGGTGTGAACGCACAGGTCCCGGTGTGAACCTGCAGGTCCCAATGTGAACACACAGGTCCCGGTGTGAACCTGCAGGTTCCAGTGTGAACACACAGGTCCCAGTGTGAACCTGCAAGTCCCAGTGTGAACCCGCAGGTCCTCATGTGATTGCACAGGTCCCAGTATGAACACACAGGTCCTGATGTGAATGCGCCTGATGTGAACACACAGGTCCCAGTGTGAACCCGCAGGTCCTCATGTGATTGCACAGGTCCCAGTATGAACACACAGGTCCTGATGTGAATGCGCCTGATGTGAACACACAGGTCCCAGTGTGAACCCGCAGGCCCCGGTGTGAACGCACATGGCGCACTCAGTGCTTGGGGCTCAGTGCTTTAGATCAGTGGTCGCCAGCCTGTGGTCCATGGGCCACTGGTGGTCCGTGAGGTCCAAAAGGTTGGCGACCGCTGCTTTAGATTGAAATATAAATAGACGTGGCGTGGTGTGGGAGAGCGTGTTCACATGGGTTTTGCCGACTGCAGTAGAAATGTCAGATTCCCAGCCACTGTCAGGAGAGGAGCTGACGAAAATCAGTTTTATGGTTTGCAGTGTGGTTTCCGTAGAGAACATATTTCTTCACTCTCAGTTTCAACATGTTTTCTAAATTATCATGGTTTATTGCCCTTTAACTTAAGTTAGTTTTTTTAAAGAATAAATAGAGAATATATTTAATCAAATAAAGAACAGGCACATTGAAATTCTGCTCTTCCTGCCATTCATTTGTTACCACAAAACACAAACAGTTTCTATGTGTTAGGAAGAAGCGGGGGCCGAGGCGTGGTCATGTGACTGGGGGGTTCTGCGTGCACCCCCGTTCCCACGACAAAACATAAATTATTTTGGTAATCTGACATCAAGCGCTGCGACAACGCGGACCACTTCTTACACATGTTCTAACAAGAATCCGATTAACATTTTTGTGGAAATGGAAACTAACTTTTTTAGTCAAACTGGCACTATTGCTGAATTTGGAATGATTTCCTTATGCGCTAGCGAGCAAAATGTGAGGCATGTCTGTGAACAAATTTGACCATAAAATGTCATCTTGATGTCGTATAAAACGACCAAGGGAGCGCGTGGAGCATATACAAGTATCAAGTGATTGACAATGTCCGGGCGATAGCTCATCCCCAGCCATGAGCGTACATTCACCGTGGTCGGCAAACTGCGGCTCACGAACCACATGCGGCTCTTTGGCCCCTTGATTGTGGCTCTTCCTAAGCCTTAGGAGTACCCTAGTTAAGTTAATAACAATGTACCTACCTATGTAGTTTAAGTTTAAAAAATTTGGCTCTCAAAAGAAATTTCAATCATTGTACTGTTGATATTTGGCTCTGTGGACTAATGAGTTTGCCGACCACTGTTCTAACAGGTCACTCCTGCCTGCAGGCCCCCGACCACCTTAACACAGAGGAACTGGGCCTCACGCCTAATCAGGCCCATGAGTGGAGCCAGCACAGCTTCCCTCCCCTTCGCTCAGAACAAAACAGCCTCCAGGTCAGCCAGGAAGCTGGACTGTCAGCTCGAGGAGCACGTGTCATAGAAACCAAGGCTGTCGGGTTAGAGAACAGCTCAGCCTAACCCCCCCCCCTTTTTTTAAATATATTTTTATTGATTTTTTACAGAGAGGAAGGGAGAGGGATAGAGAGAAACATTGATGAGAGAGAAACATCGATCAGCTGCCTCCTGCACACTCACTGGGGATGTGCCCGCAACCAAGGTACATGCCCTTGACCGGAATCGAACCTGGGACCCTTCAGTCCGCAGGCCGACGCTCTATCCACCAAGCCAAACCGGTCAGGGCCTGACCCCTTTTACCTGACAAGACAGAGTGTTCCCTTCCATTTCCAAGTGCCGCCCGTGGCCTGCACTTAACTAGTCTGGTCTGACCTGGAGCAGCGGCCAGCGTTCCTGGTGCTCACGCCTCTGCCCCTGCCCTTCCCGCTCCCCGTGTGACATCGGCTACACGTTCGACAGCGTTTCCCCTTCGCTGTTTCCCACGTGCGCTCGGGATCTCTCCGGCGGACGCCTGCGGGCTTTCCCGTCAGCTTTGGCTCCTTCTGGCTCTACTGAGACTCGCCTCTCTCCGCCCTGCACGCCCTGCGTGTTCTTGCTGAACTGGATCTGCCACCGTGGTCTTTATATTTCTGTCACCTGTCCTGCTGGCGCCCATATGCAGCTGCACACCTCCTCCCGCCTGTCTGCCCCCCCTCCCCCCCGATCATTTTTCGTTAGTGAAAGTGCCCCCTTCGTGGTGGTGCAGCCACTAACGCAGATGCCAGCACCTCTCACAGCTCCTCCAGCGGCCTTCCCGGGGACCCTCGTGTCCAGACCT